GAAATAAAACTAATATTTATGTTAAAAATTTTAAACCACTGCATAAAGGAAATCAATATTCTTAAGAAAACAGAAAATAATTTCATGAGCACACACATATGATATTAAAATAAAAATTAACTCCTTAATTAGTAAACATAGAACCAAAGCAAACTCCGGGCTTGCAAATGAAGATTTTTACTTGAAAGATGGCTGTTTTATGTTTGTAGTTGTATTTTTACCTAAGCATAAAAGAGTCAGAAAATATTTTACCTTGTCACAGTTCTCTCTAGCACAAATTCAACTTATATACAGATATCCAATAGTCCATTACACTCAAAATGAGTAATTACATATTTCATAGACATATTAATAGATTAACATAATTATATGAAGTAGATGGAGAAATTCTAGTTCTATGAAGTTTTATGACTTTATCTAAAATTTTATCTGACTAAATCACTGTTTTAAAGGCCTATTTTCCTTCTCTTTGTACAACCAAGATAACAGATACCTGTGTGATAAATCCCTAATTAAAGAAGATACATTTATGGAAACTGACTTGACTATGCAGAAAAGTTTTGGAAACACCAATTCCCAGAATAAGTTTCTGGATGTAACCAGTGTGATCTGAATGGACACTCAAGTCTCAAAGTAGTATGGAGGGAGCAACTTGAGATACCGGAGTGCAGTGAGTGATTGCAGCCGGATACTCCTCTTAAAGTTTTGAGGAGCAAAGTGTGAAAGAATAGACGAGCAAGCGCATGGAAAAACATCAGTGGGGATGCACCAAATACACACGCTAACGTGGCATGCCTTTAAGGCAGTGATGCCATCATTTTGACCAACAATTCCTTAGATTTTATTTCTTTGGTTGTAGAACTCTCAAATTTGATGTTTTTTTTTTTTTAATTTTTTTCAGTGTTCCAAGATTCATTGTTTATGCACCATATCCAGTGCTCCATGCAATACATACCCTCCTTAATACCAACCACCAGGCTCTCCGAACACCACTCCCCCGCCCCTGCCAAAACCCTCAGTTTGTTTCTCAGAGTCCACAGTCTCTTATGGTTCATCTCCCTCTCTGATTTCTCCCCCTTCATTTCCCCTTTCCTTCTCCTAACATCCTCCATGTTATTCCATATGCTCCACAAGTAAGTGAAACCGTATGATAATTGACTCTCTCTGCCTGACTAATTTCACTCAGTGTAATCTCCTCCAGTTCCCTCAAAAAAGTAAAAAAAAGAAATCTTTCACTTACTCTTTAAGTTGTTCATCTTCATTTCACTGTACAGGGCAACAAAAGGGATGCAGGTTTCCGTAAGTCCCAAAAATATGTTCTCAGAAGGCCCACAGGGAATTCAAAAGTAAGACTAGTTGGGAGACCTGCCTTTAGAGTAACAACAAAGTCCTTGTTTTCCTTCTGCCTTAAATCCCTTCCCAAGGAGCCTTTCTGATTCATCTTGCTGAATCTCAGCTGGTACCACTCTCCTGACTCCTGCCAAGGAGCACCTGTGGGGTTTTATGCAAACTGTTCTAGGGAGAAAAAGTGGCTGTAGGTAAATATGTAGATGAAGCTAGAGGAACAAAACTTTATAACTTAGGGAATTTCTTTCTTTCTTTCTTTCTTTTTTTATAATGATTTTCTTTATTTATTTGAGAGAGAGAGTGAGCATGAGAAGGAGCACAAGCTGGGGTGGGAGAGAAGCAGAGCGAGAAGCAGATGCCCTGCTGAACAGGAAGCCAGATCTCAGGGTCCTGTGATTATGACCTGAGCCTTATGACCAAATGCTTAACTGACTGAGCCATCCAGGTGCTCCTCTGGAGGGAATTTCATCAATGTTCGAATTCTTCTGAGAAGTCTGTCATCTAGTAACCATTTTCCCAATGTTTTTTTTTTTTTTCCCCAGAAATCACCAGCAACCTCTGGTGGTAAACTTGCTTTCTCCTCTTGGGGAGGGAGAGATAAGGAAAATCTTGTAAAGTTCCAAATTCAATGGATCTAGTTTAGATACCCCTCAGCAATGCCATAACCATATTTTTCTGTTTGGCCACTAGAATACTCCACATGGATATCCCACTGGTGTTCCAGTGAATGGTCCAAACTGAAATAATTACTAAGAGCATTAGTCTGGGACCCAAAAGGAAACAAATAGTATACTCAAATTAGTATAAAGTCCAAGTTATCTAAAACTCGATGACTAGAAGAGTTTGATTTAGGGAGCCTTTATACAGGTGTAGGTAGTTGTTGGAAAACCATAAGGAGTAAACCAGTAACTCAGGAATTCAAGAATAGTAATAGCTGAGTCATTACTACTGCTAGTCCTGAAGGGAAAGGGAAATGTTTCTGGAATTCAGAAGGAGAGATTCGTGCAGAAAAAGCCACACTGATAGAAACAGTGATATTCTGTCTAGGGAAACAGCTAGCCCAAGTTGGGCCCACATGGAGGGATCCAGAGGAATATGTCCCCCCATCTTTTCACTATTGGCTAAACCCAGCTGGGAGCCAGAGGACAAGAGAACCTGTATTCATACAGGTCAGCCTCCTGGGGTATATACAAGGCAGAGAAAACTGGTAACAGGATCTGAAGTTAAGTGGCAGACAGTCTTTTCCCATTCCAAGTTCCTCCTCTCCTCTGAACCAGTTTTCTAGGTAGCACCGTGGTTTATCTACTCTTAATCTCTGTTCCTGCCATGATCTTCATGATGTTGTTCTCTGCAAATATCTAATATCAAATCCCTACCATTTTATTTATGAAATATTTATGTCCATGCTATTCTCTCCTGTCACTGTTACTTTACATCACTCTTAATCGCCAACCTATCATTTCTTAGTAGCATCTATCACTTTCACAAATAACTGTCTTTACTTGTATGTACTCCATATTTCCAAGAGAAATTTAGAACTCTGTCTCCAGTGTTCAGAACTCTGTCTCCAGTGCCTAGTAGAGTGGCTGGTACATAGTATATATTCAGTAAATATATGTTGAACACATGAATTAATGCAAACCCTCAATATTTATTGGCTCCACATTACAGTGCATTTTTAGTAGACTCCATGACATTAGTGTTAGCCATCCTCAGTCCACCATTTACATTCCTGCCGAAATGCATCTTCTCATTCATAAATTGGAAGTCACTCCCCTGTTTAGAATTATTTAATGACACTTCATGGTTTTCCAAATGAGGAAATTCATTCATTAAACAGCTTTTTTTTTATTGACCATGTATAAAGGAAGGGAAATTTGAGATGAATCAAGAGATTCAATTAGAATGTTTACAATTTACTATGAACAACAATAATAAAAAATAAATTATAATAAGGTATAGTAGTCCAAGATGCGGGGAGCCCTGAGCAGGAGTTCCTAACTCTAGAGCAGGACAAGGCTGTAAGGAAAGGCTTTCTAGAGGCCAGGATGGGGAAGAGTGAAAGATGGGGGTGGGATGGCGACCATGTTCTGAAGGGGCCTGAAAGCTACATTTATAGGATCTTGACTCCTTAGCTACATGGTTATGAACCTTTTGTGTCTCAGTCCTGATGTTTGTCAGTTTTATATCCCATATTTTCTCACTTTAGACTCCCTGTCCAGGGACAGCTGATTCTTTAAAGTTCTTTAAATGCTGCATGTGGATCCCTACTTCTGAAATTCTGCCCAAAAAGACCTATTCATTCTTGCTGGCCTAAGAGGTAAGATTCTGTTTAAAGCAACTTGACTTCTTTCCTCAGTTTTCCAGAGACATCCTGTTTTTCCTGGACATTAGCAAGATCATATTATATAGCAGGGATTTGGAGGTAGAAATGCTTACATTCTCTTCATATAATTTAGGGAGCTAACAGACACTGGAATATATAGAACTTCTTGAGAGAGCTTTCTGACTTCCCAAATCATTCTTCCCTGTTTTAAAAGATGGCTTTTTCAGTAAACATAGTCAAATGGTAACTTCAAATTTAATTTAATATAGTGATTTAATCTGAAACATGGTAAACAACAATAGATATGAGACCAAACATTTGACCTTTAAATGTAAATATATCACTATTTATTAGTATGCTCAGTTTATTGAATATTTGTTCTCCTGTGCTACTGTAGATAATAAAGCCTCATATGTATTCTAAGCAGTGATACTAATATGATTGCAGACAGGTGAAAAGCACATATGTATCAAAAACTAAACTAACAAACATCTTTTTCATAATTTTCTAATCACAGTTCTACTTTGGTGTCAAATCAGGCCAAAGTAACATATAGAAACATACGACTATAATAATTTGAGTATTAGTTTATTATTGCAGAAATTCATAGTAATTAGCATAGAAAAAATTAAACTCACAAGTATGTCATTATTGAAATGCACATTGAGTTTTTCAGGCAATGTGTTGCTCTACATTTTTATAGGTATGAAGTAAAGACATCAAGTTAAAGAAGTGAATTCAACAGTATTTAAGTTACAAAACCCAAAGATCTTATTTCTGATATTTAAGACCAATCATCTAGGCAAATATATGTAGGAACTTAAAGTCAATGCTAATGATGTAGCTAATGATTTGAAGATGGATAAGAGTACACAAATAACAAATTATACTGGATATCTCCATTAGCATTTTCCTTTTGGCAAGTCAATGGGAACTTATAAGATTGATCAGGAAAAATAAACCCTGCTAACCATAATATATCATATTTTGATGTAACTAATTACTATTATATAAATTCAAATTTGTTATGAAACAAATCATGCAGACTGTAACTTGGGGTAACATATTTTGCCTTCAAGGAAGACTTTTTAATTTTCTACCAGTGTCATAAAAGTTACCACCATACATTTTTACTTGAATACTTTCTTAAAAAAACAAAAAAATCTAACATCATGCCATTATTACTATTTCTTACATTATTATCCTTAATGATCCAATATCATTAGATCCATCTTCACATTTTCCTTATTGATGACAGCTGGGGTATTCTGTTGACTGACTACAAAGACTTCCTATAAAGAAAGTGGTTGTTAATGATCCTTGTCTCTTAAAGAATCAGTCCTCCAGGTATTTGGATTGGTGAATGATCCCTTGTTTGACTTGATATCCTGGAAGTTCTATATAAAAGTAAAAGTTAAAGTTAACAACATGCCATTTTAATGATTTTACAAATGAGCTTCTATGTGCTTATATTTCTGGATGGATTTTATCCCTGGAGAGAAAAATATAATCAAGTTCCTGAATGTAAAGTCTCAATAGTAGAATATTCTATAGTCTTTCTAAGAAGTATGCATTTAACTGTGATTTCCAAGGAATCATTATTTTAAGAGTATTTTAAATTACATTTAAGTTTTAAATTATTTAAGACTTACTTCAAATTTAAGATTTATTTTTTATTTAATTTATTTATTTTAGAAAGAGAAGGGGTGAGGGGCAAAAGGGGAGGGTGAAGGAGAGAAACAGACTCCCCACTGAGCACAGAACCCAAATGGGGCTTGATCTCAAGGACGTGAGATCATGACCTAAGCCGAAATCAAGCACAGATGCTTAACTGACTGAGCCACCCAGGTGTCTTGGTGCCTCAATATTTAAGTTTTAAATTATTGGCTTCTCTTCAAATTCCTCCGAAGATTCAGGGTTGTTTTAATTTCGCATAACATGAAACAAATGTAAAAATGTTAACTTGTGTTGCAGAAAGGTATTCCCAATGCCTGAAGTGGCAACCAGCCTTCTTTCATTAAAAGGTGCTGGTCATCCCTAGTGTAACATGGGTTTTGTTGTTACTGCTGATTTTGTTTGTTTTGTTCTTTCCATGATGGCTTATAATTTTGTCATTTACTTAATCCTAGATCATTTACTTTCTGGATCTTTCAGATTATGGGTAAAGATTCATTTTAAATTTTATGGAAAATAATTTATAACTACATGTGGTGTACTTAATAGTAGAATGATTTGCCTTAAAATATACATTAGAGTAAATTCAAGATTTTTGTCGAAAACACCCACACTGTCATCCAGTAAAGGGATAGGCAGATGAGAAAGAAGGTGAACTTAAACAGGGAATTTAGAAAGACAATACCTTACTTATCTGCGGTACAACAGTAATCTGTAAAAACTCAGTGTGGTAGATATGAACTTTATACATTATGTGTGTCTAAGAAATAAAGATTCAGAACCATTAAAATAAGATTTTGGCTAAACAAGAAAACCATCTGTGTCTCTCTGAAATGGTATGTCTATAATGGAATAGGTAGGCAGGTCCAGTAACTGACAGTGCTCTAAAGTATTTTAAACCAAAGTCAAGTTTAATAAATTCCAATGCTATTAACCCCCTTAGAAACTAGAGCTATTTAGCCTTTAAACTGTATCTTGGGACCCAAGGAACATCTCATACACATACAATTTTAAGGCCTTGGAGAAAAGCAGTTTGGGTACTTGTGTTGGTGAGCACCAAATTAAATGCTCCATGGGATGGGATCCAATGAGTAGATAAGTAGACACTGCATTTAAAAATTCATTGGAATATATTTAGGCAGAGTGTAAACTCATCAAGTGCCTGACCTGTTGGTATTGCCATATACCTCTCCACTTAAGTATTTCATTTTATCTGCCCGCTTGTCAAGGTCTTAAAGTGAGAGATTTCTGGAGAAGCCATCAGTCTACAAGCATTGAGTAGTGTACTGAATTCTCTGTGATTGCCATAAGAGAAAGGTCTATTGCCATTGCTCTTCTCTAGACTTAATCTTACTGATAAATATATTCTATGTGTGTGTGCCTATACATGATATAAATGTATATACGCAAACATATATATTTCTTCATCGCACGATACTCAAATGAGACACAAATACACACTCATGTATAATGAACAAGAAAACAAACATCAGGGGCTTCTGGGTGGCTCAGTTGGTTAAGTGGCTGCCTTCAGCTCAGGTCATGATCTCAGTGTCCTGAGATCAAGTCCCACATCAGGCTCCCTGCTCAGTGGGGAGTCTGCTTCTCCCTCTGCCTCTGTTGCTCCCCCTGCTTGTACTCTCTCTTTCTGTCAAATAAATAAAAATCTTAAAAAAAAAAAAAGAAAAAAGAAAATGAACATCACTGATTTATAAATATGAGTTTTTAAAAAAAATGAAAGGTAAGCAAATATACACCGTTTTATGTCTATTGGTCAATATTAAATAAGTGGAAAAATTTTAGACCCTGGACATCTAGAAATATAGACATGGATACATCTCTAATGTAAGTCCCACATGTTTGCTGGAGCATTACTGCATTCCAGCAACGAGGACAGCCAAGGAAAAAGATTTGGAAAGAGTGAATTAATGTGAGGAAATAGTAATAAGTGTTTCTAAGGGTACCCTGTGAAGTCTCATTAAATGCTTCTTTTAATAACTGTATATTAAAACATGAATACAGTTTATTAGCATATAAGAAACTGAAGAGGAAATCTTCAGATAAATATAAACCATACAAAGTCCTCAACAGCTCTGTTAGGTAAGCTGATCAATCCTGCAAATGATTTGAATGAGGAATGCAGCAAAGTTCAACTTGGAATTTGTAGGAAAACCAGGGGAAAGATTGATAACAGTTTAATTGGGGGGAACGATGCACATGTGCTGCTAAAATGCAACATTAAAGAAAAAAAAATCTCCCTGATCACATTTCTCTTGCATCTGAAGACTTAGAGTAATGTTTCCATGGACCTATCCCACATTAAAAAATGATTTAGTATGTCTTAACGGAGAAGCTTTCATTCTCAGCCCCTTTGTAGGGTCTGCCATTGTGAAATGTGCTGTAACCAGGCCGATTCTGTTCCAGCCCTTCCCTTCTGAGTTGTATCCAGTTACCTCAGCTTGAGCATAACCAGGAGAAGGATTCCACAGGTGACAGTCATGCACATGACAGCGTAGATTACTTCTCCTAGAAACAAAAGATTAAAAAAAACAATTACTGAATTTTTGAGAGAGAATAAATAGTAAAAATAGAGGATGGATGTTTAACTGACCGTGGAAAGGGGAATGAAATCCACTCAGAGTTATCTCCTTTGCAGGTTTTCTTTTATGCAATGCCATGCCTTTGACATTAGACAGATTCAGATAATCTGAAAGAAAATAATGAAAATTAGTTAGAGTATTTAAAAGTCATACATAACTTTTTTCTAAGGGTTGTAATTTGTTTTATATTATATTACAAGGTAGCAATTTATTTCTGATGCTCTTTTAATAAAATCTGATAGGTGGGGATGAAAGCAGGAGCACGTTCATTACATTTTAACAGGTTTTTTTTCCCTAACTTTTAATCAGATAATTTCTTTACAGAGATTGCCGGATTTTTTGTTTTTTGTTTTTTGTTTTCCAAAACCATGATTAGGGAAGTGCATTATACTTTACGACAGTTCACTGTACCTTATATATAGACCAGGGGTAAAAATCAGCAACTTGAAGCTACCCATTGTAATATTAAAAAGTTTCCTGTTTGTTTGTTTTACGGGAATGATTATTCCAATGTGCTTTTAAGGATATCTCATTTCCCTAAAACACTTTGTATTTATGAATCTTTAAAAAAAAACAAAACTTACTTATTTACTTATTTGAGAAAGAGAGAGAGAGGGAGAGCACAGAAGGAGAATGAGAGGGAGAATCAGACTCCCCACTGAGCAGAGAACCTGAGGTGGGGCTCCATCCCAGGACCCTGAGATCATGAACTAAGCTGAAGGCAGATGTTTAACTGACTGAGCCACCCAGGCACCCCTGTATTTATAAATTCTTATCAAGTCCCTAAAACAATCACTCTGTTCACCCTCAGACTTCCAACATCCAACTTTCCTTATTTCCCTACTCTGTCTCTTGTAAGTCCCTTCCCTCTCTATTGTTGTCAACTAGCTTTTGTCACACTTATGGGAAAGGGTCACACTTATGGAAAAGCCACTCTATGGCCCTAGTCTTTGTGGCAACATTTTGCTAAACACATTTCTATCTCACTTCACAACTCACAAGACAAAAAGATGGGATCCTTAAAACTAATTAATGGATTCATTTTTAGTGACATTCATTGATAACTTTGAAGTGAACTCACCCCTAGTTTTGATTCAGTTCAACACAGATATGAATGTTAAATATACCAATAGCCCAATAACCAATTTCTTTGATGATGAAGATTCAGGTAGGATTTGAATCTTTAAAAAAGGGTGGGGGAGATAAGATAAAGTTTCCCCTTGAGAGACTGGCTGACCACTCTGTTTCATGTCCTTTGAGATCTGAAAGTCCGAGTAGACTGTTGTTTGTAGAAATGAGTGCATCCAATAGTGGAATCATACATCTGATGACAATTAGTGTCAAGAGGCTCTGAGTAGGAAGGGAAATGGAAAGACATATTACCAATAGTCCCATCCAGTCCTTTCTTCACCAAGAGTTGCTGCTGTACACAAGCCAGCTGCTGGGAAGCCAAGATTTGAGGTCTAAGTTAGGAATAATCAGCAGAAAGCAGAGGAGACATACTTCAGATCCTAGCAAAGCTCTCAGTACGGGCCCAAGAAAAGGAGCCAACATAAGAGGTAGAAAAGGGAAGATTTTGTTATTAGAAAACCCATTTTCAAGGAGTCTGAACTCTAATACAGTGGAGATGTTTTAGTTTAAGATTTTTTTAATTTCTAGACTTACATACTGGGTTATCATATATTTATAGAAGTCTGACTTTCTTAGGAACTGAAAAATCAATCTCTTCTAAAATCAAAAGTAATAGAGGTAGAGTGTGTGAATTTTTTTTTCAATTTTGTTGTCATAAAATACATTTTGTTATTCACTATAAAGTTGGAATGGGAAAACTGAGCTATTTCAAATAATATCATTTTTATACTAGTGGTTCCTTTTTTGGGGAAGAATTAATTTTAATCAAGTTGATCTTACAGATTTTGGTGAAGCAAATTATATTAAAATTTTATATTCAAATCGCTTCAGAATATGAAGGACAGTTTTGCTTTTAAAAAAATTCTATGGCATTTTATAATGTTTTAATTCTTTTAAATTTAAAATTCTATGGCATTTTGAGGCAGATCCATGGCTTACATATAGATGTATAATGTACATTGGCTAATTATTTGAATGATGCTATAGTATTCCTTTATGAAATTCTATCCCTAAGTACATTTGGTCTAGTTAGGTACCATGATTCATCTTTACATAAGAAAAAAGGTTACTATTCTGACAAATTAGGCTGCCTCTTAAATATATCTGCCTAAGGTAATTGTTAAACATTCACCTACCAAAGTTTAGAAAGAATCGTCTCATTCACTAAATTTCACTCACATGGAACTCATTAACAAAGTTATAATAGATCAATGACAGAAATGTTAGCTAACGATCCCAGTGAAAATTTTAATGTGTCTAGCAATCACTCCACAATCTTAAATATTGCACCCTAGGAGGATACCGAGTATCAGTTAGAGAGATTAATGTTACAGAGGGTTTCTTGGCTACTGAAGCCCATTGGAGATTCTTCCCTGCCTTTTATAAACAGTGAGGTTTACGGTGTTTTATAACCATGAAATTAAAGTCGGCAGAGTTAATAACCAACCTCAGTCCCACACCATCTGCTATATTTATAGATAAACACTGTCAGTGACTTGTTTATCTTAACTCATACCCTAGAGGAGTTAAACACTATTATGAACTATATTGTAAAATCCCTGTACATTTGACGGGAAATCAAGATTAATTTCAGCCCTATGTTAAGAACAAATTTAAATAGTGTTCTCCTCAAATAACTACAGAGATGTGATCATTTCTTTTTTTTTTCTTTTTCTTCCAAATCCTTGTGCAGCAGTGGCTGAGAGCTGATGGGATCTAAAACTTTACATTTTATAATTCTTATGAAATGGTAAATGCATAAATAAAGATACGATAGATCAGATACAAAATAATGATTTAAAAAGAAATATCAGAATAGTTGAAATAGAAATTAAATATATCATATAGTGCAACTTTGTAAATCTTCGATTAAAATTCTATTTACATATACAAGTCTGCGTGGAAGAAAAATCTTGACAAAGTGAACATTTTCATAGAATAATTAAATACATTTTATAGCTTTTTAAAAAATTGCTAACATGTCACATAGCATGGTTAAATGTTATTGGCTTCTTTCCATTTTTAAATATAAGACTGCCAATACCACGACAAAATTTCATTGAGAATGAAAATGCAAGGGTGACCTTCTTGCATATCCAAGGGTTGGAGCTATTTCTAATTTGATCAATATTTCAATATGGTCATCTGAAGATATTTCAATTCCCAAATTGGAAACAAGTTTTGAATTTTTTCACTTAATGATCAGTAGTGAGAGTCCATGTATCATGGACCTTTCTATCATTAGTATATAAAAATCTTCTTCCAAAATGGATCTAAGAAGCATTGCAGCTGGGGAGAAAGGAAAATATATAAACATCTTTAAGTTTGGAAAAACAACACATTAATAACATGATAAACCTTGGTATTAAACCCATATGGTGACAGTATAACATCACTGCTAAAATGTATGTTGTAAAGAGTAAATTGAACAGATAACATGCTTTCCCTAAATAATAACATGCAGCGTCTTCATTCATTTAGGTTGACAAATTCAAAGAAGACGAGATGATGTCTTGGATTTATCTTCTTGCACCATGTATGGCTAACCACGTTTGTCAGGCACCAGGGGGAAAGGGAAACTTAGCAGTATTAGCCTGTTGGTTTGCAAACCTCAGAAGTTCCCTGGATGAAATCTGTTAACTGGTTCTCCATACACAGAGGAAAAGGAAAGACTGAAGAAAGAGGCAGACCCCTCCAGATTGTTAGGTGGTTGTTTTATTTATTTATTTATTTATTTTTTAAAGATTTTATTTATTTGACAGACAGAGATCACAAGTAGGCAGAGAGGCAGGCAGAGAGAGAGAGAGAGGAGGAAGAAGGCTCCCTGCAGAGCAGAGAGCCCGATGTGGGGCTTGATCCCAGGACACTGGGATCATGACCTGAGCCGAAGGCAGAGGCTTTAACCCACTGAGCCACCCAGGTGCCCTGTTAGGTGGTTGTTTTAATAAGCAAGAACTTATATATGAGACTTGCCTTGGGCAGTCACGAGATAGTAGATCTTAGCACTCAACCACTAGAATTTTAAAAGTTATACAGAGGTCTTAAATGGGGTTCAGTCACATCTATAGTCCATATGGTCACAATAACAACACATTGTTCAAGACTGCATCCTTGAAACAGCTCTGGCTATGGGAACAGTGAGCAGAATGTATACTCCAAGAACAGGGGTGAGGGCAAGGAGCCTCCAGTCTCCCTGGTACAGCTCACAGATTAACCAGCAGTAATATCCTTTGGATAGCCTCTTCAAACATAGTCAAAGGGTATGAAATTTCAGTTATGCAAAATGAGTAAGTCCTAAAAAACCTATTGTACACCATAGAGCCTATTGTTAATAATGCTGTATTTTACACTTAAACATTTTCTGAGAGGGCAGCTATTAAGCTGAATGTTCCTACCACACATGCAGAATAGTAATAAATAGGGGATAGGAAGAAACTCATAGAGGTAATAGATATACTTATGGTATAGACTGTGGTGATGTGAGTTTCATCGTGTATATTTCTCTTCAAAATCATCTAGCTCTATCCATTACATATATACAGCTTTCTGTATGTCAACAAAAACAAAAGCAAAAAACACATATTTGTATAAGTATGCACTGGAGAAGATTTGCCTTGATCTTTCGTCATGAACCAAAAGCTCTGTGTTAGTAACTGACTATAATCACAAATCTGGCATGTTAAGCTCTTTGGCCCTAGGTTGAGTAACAGTGTTACCCACGCATCTAGTAGACTGCTTAGAGATTATAATGAGTCTCAGCTGTTCACATTTTCCTCAATAGTTTCTGCAAATAATGAAATAGCAACTGAGGAAGCAATTAGAATGCAAATTATGCATTGCTACATAATAGCCAACACTAGATTAGATAAACACACTATGATTTATATATGATAAATATGCATAAATATACTATGATTGTTTTAGAAGGCAGCAATTTTAAATCTTGGAATTAAAAATATCTGTCACCTGTGGGCTC